ACAGGAGGAAGCCAACTCCTCCTTCCCAGACGTCTTGATCACTGAGAAGGATGGGGGGGCAGCGTCCGCCGCCCGCATGATCCGGTGGTCATTGAATGTAAGGTTGCCAATCAGCTCATCAGACATCATCAGACATCATCAGCCTCCGGTGCCTGCAAAAGCTGAAATACAACGTCGGCGGCATGCATCCGGTCACCCACCCCTTGGTTGGTTTTGGGGGTGGGATGGTCTACCCAGTCGGGAGAATTGACTTACCCATCCGGTTGTGAGAGAAAGGCTAGGGACGACATATTGTCGTCAGATTCTTGGTCGTTAAGGAGTTGACCGCCTATAACATCATTCTTGGCAGGCCAACCCTCAACGTAGCCAAGGCAGTAATCATCCCGTCCCTCATGCTCATCAAGTATGAGAGGGATGACGGCTCTGTTGGTTCCTTGAATGGGGATCAGAAGACGGCCCGAGAGTGCTATCTCTCAGCCGTCCGAGATATTGTGGCCCTAGGCGGTCAGGAACCAATAGACCTTGACAATGTCAAGGATGCCGACCCAGCTCCTGCCCCACCCGCAGCCGGAAAGAAAAGAAAGGAAAGGTGAAGAAAGAGAAAAAATAGCAATCACTAACCGGTGAACGGTCGGATGAGCTCCGTCCCCAACCGGCTGGCGAAAGCATTGATCTCGTTCTGGATGACAGTCGTCTAGAACGTACTGTTAAGGTTGGGACGATTGCTCATGCTACCTTGGGTGCAAGCTTGCACCTTCTGCTTAAGGAATTCAAAGACATTTTTGCCTTTGAAGTGGAGAAGATGCCAGGCGTCAGCCCGGATCTTGCTGTCCACAGACTCGCCGTGGACCCCAAAAAGAATCCCATCCGGCAAAAGAAAAGAAACCACAGCGAGGAAAGAAGTCAAGTGGCAGCTGCCGAAGTCAAAAAGCTGCTAGACGCCAGGTTCATTCGGCCTTGTAATTTTCCCGACCGGGTGGCCAATGTGGTCCTTGTTACGAAACCGAATGGGACCTGGCGCATGTGTATTGATTACACAGACCTCAACAAGGCGTGTCCAAAGGACAGTTACCCGCTTCCAAAGATCGACAGTCTGGTCGATTCTACAGCCGGTCACGCCTTGATGAGCTTTATGGATGCCTACTCCGGCTTCCATTAGTTACCCATGTGGAAGAAAGATCAAGAGAAGACGACCTTCGTCACAGATCAGGGGCTATTCTGTTATACTGTGATGTCGTTTGGCTTGAAAAATGCGCCTGCCACTTTCCAACGGATGATTAATACGGTCTTCATTAATCAGATTGGGAGGAATGTGGAGGCGTACATTGATGACATGATAGTCAAATCCAAGCAGTAGGCGGATCACCTTGCTGATCTCCGAGAAACATTCACCACACTCAGGCGGCATAAGGTTATGTTAAATCCTAAGAAATGCGTCTTTGGTGTTGAGTCTGGGAAGTTTCTCGGATTCCTGATTGATCAAAGGGGGATAGAGGCTAACCCCGAAAAGATACAGGCGGTGATTGACATGAAGTCACCCCGTTCTGTCAAGGAAGTTCAGAGACTCACCGGTTGTCTGGCCGCCTTAGGGAGGTTCCTCAGCCGGTCAGGTGACAAATGCCTCTACTTCTTCCAAGCAATCAGGAAGAAGACCAGATTTGAATGGGGGGATGATGTTTAGGCGGCATTCCAGAGGTTGAAAGAGCATTTACATTCTCTGCCTAGGTTGGTCAGTCCTTTGCCTAGGGAGACATTGTACATGTATTTAGCCGTCTCAGACTATGCCCTCAGTGTCGTTCTCCTTGCTGAGCGAGACGGCGTGCAGCTCCCGGTTTACTTCATTAGCCATGTTCTTAAAAATGCTGAACTCCGGTACCCCATGGTTGAAAAATTTGGCCTTGCTTTGTATATGGCATTCAAAAAATTAAATCCTTACTTTTTGGCACATCCGGTGGTGATCTATACGGACCAGCCACTCAAGCGGCCAATGTCTACCTTGGACTCATCCGGGAGAATGTTGAAATGGGCTATTGAAATGCAGAGCCTTAAAATCACTTACGAACCAAGAAAGGCAGTGAAAGGTCAGGCTTTTGCCGACTTCATTGTTGAAATGACTCGTCTGGTGGCTCCGGATAATCTTGATCAGGTTTGGAAAGTGTACGTAGACGGGAGCTCTACAAAGAACGGCTGTGGTGCAGGCGTAATTTATGAGTCTCCTAAAGGAGACAGATTTGAATATGCACTACGCTTCAAGTTTCAGGCCTCTAACAATGAGGGGGAATATGAAGCCCTACTAGCCGACATACGCATGTGTAAGGCGGCAGGGGCCATGAAAATTGACGCCTACTCTGATTCTCAATTGGTTGTTAGACAGTATGAGGGAAGTTATGAGGATACCCATCCGGCTATGATCAAATATCTTCAGGCAGTCAAAGAAAAGGCCGGGGCACTTGAGGAATTCCGATTAAATTAAGTGTCTAGGTCTGAAAACAATCAGGCGGATGCATTGTCAAAACTGGCATCTTCCGCCTTCCATGACACGCCTCGGCCTGTCTTTTGGGAAGTCCTAGAAAAGAGAAGCATCTATGAAGATCCTATTGAAGTTCTAGACCAAAGCTCTACCTGGATGGATGGCATCCGGGCTTATCTTTCAGACGGCACCCTTCCTGATTCGCCACACGAGGCAACCGTCCTGAAGAAGCGAGCTGCGAGCTTCGAGTTGAGAAATGGAGAACTTTTCAAGGCGGGGTTTCTTAAACCCCTGTTGAAGTGTGTCACCCGAGAAAAGGGGAGGGAAGTTCTCGAAGACTTGCACTCGGGAATTTGCGCCTCTCACATAGGTGGCAGGTCCCTAGCCGTCAGAGCCAGACGACATTACTTTTGGCCCACTCTTGAGGCAGACGCCAAGGAATTGGTGAAAAAATGTGACAAGTGCCAAAAGTTTGGCTAACTTATTCATCGTCCAGCTACTGATCTGACGGCCATCCACAGCCCAATCCCGTTTGCAAAATGGGGCATGGACATCTTAGGTCCTTACACGCCTGCTCCAGGCGGAAAGCGCTACATCTTGGTGGCTGTGGATTATTTCACCAAGTGGGTTGAGGCTGAGGCGGTTAAAAACATCAAGACCTCAGACGTAATTTCCTTCATCTGGAAGAATGTTATCACCCGGTACGGGGTACCCATGTATATGGTGTTTGATAATGGTCCTCAGGTTGAGACGCCTCAGCTAAAAACTTGGTTGGGAGATCAGGGGATCTCAAGCTATTTTGCATCTGTTGGCCGGCCCCAAGAAAACGGCCAAGTTGAAGCCTTCAACAAACTCATCTCAGACGAAATTAAGAAGAAAATAGAAAGAGCCGGTGGCTTGTGGGCAGAAGAGTTGATCCATGTCCTATGGGCCATCCGGACAACGGAAAAAGGGGCAACCGGTGAAACCCCATTTCTCATGGTTTACGGTGCTGAAGTCGTCTTGCCCATCGAACGTTACGAGCCGACTCTTAGAGTCATGCTGTATGATGAAGAGGCAAACTGGGAAGCAATGCTCCTGGAATTGGATTCACTCCCAGAACGCAGGGGCAATGCCGCCTTGCGTCATGCGATTTACTGTTTGAGAATAACTAGAGCCTACAACAAAAAAGTACACAAGCGTCCTTTGAAAGTTGACGACTTAGTATTACGAAAAATGGAGGCAACCGGTACGGCCAATGAGTTGGGAAAGCTAACACCAAATTGGGAAGGCCTCTACCGGATCTATGAAGAAGTAAGGGACGATACCTACCGCCTGGAAACCCCAGACGGCAGGCGCCTGCCTAGAACTTGGAATGTAGACAATCTGAATAAGTACTACTTCTGAGAATGTAAATTTTTGTAAACAAATGAACTAATCAATGAAATCAAACTGTTTGCAAATTGTGTTATTTTTTGATTCTCCATCCGGGTAATACCCAGGCGGGTTCTCCTTTACCCAACTAGGTTTGATACTTAGTAAAGGTTACATTTGTTAGACCGCCTGGGTAAAACTCGAATTCCTTTGTTTATTTAGGTTTGATACTTTTTTTATTCAACCGCCTGATTATCAGCTTGGGTAATACCCAGACTGACCCGTCTGTCTAAAAATCTAAGTTCGATGCTTAGTGTAAATTCAATACTGACTAGAAACTAAGCACAAAAACGTTTAGTGGCTGCGCAACCGGTCTCGAACAAGACCAGAGGCTAAAATGGCCGGATGGTTTCTCATTTTATAAAATCGCCTGTCCCAACATGGACAAAGGCGTCCGGTGACACCCCTCCGGGTGCAATCGTCGCAGAGAACATACTATTTGTTGGTTCTACGTATCCATGCAGACGACAAAAATTGAACGACCAAATTGGTCAACTCATAGCCGTCTGACCAAAATAACCTATGAAGAACGAATAAGTTCCCAAATACCGGATGCCCATAGGCATCAGTCGGTCACCGGCTGAAGTTCTCACTTAGGTTATTTATTCCAAAGATTGCACCTCTCACCCCAATTGGGGCAAAAGAGTTCAATGGCTATGAAATCTCTACCAAGACGGACATACGCCGTCTGTGTAGTGACCGAAACGCCTGTTGGTGTACGGCTGTGCACTTGGTTTGGGGCAATCACTACTGTGATTGATTGACTTACAAACATATCATGCTCTTTGCAGCATCAGACGTTTTCAAGTCAATCAACCAATTCCACTTGAAACCAATCACACAGCCAGGGGCAAGGACAACCAGGCTATTGACTAGCTAGGCAAGAAATCGCCGCATGCTTTTGATAAGATAGGCAAAATTAAAATTTGCAAAAAATAAAAATTCAAATGTAAAATGATCAAAACCGACTCAGTCGGTGCATTTCATAAAAGTCCATCCAACCAAACGGTTGTAATGGATCAAATGTTAACCGGACCCCGTCCGGGAGAAAGAAATTGTTAATTAACCCGGCTCCACAGCCGGTAAATACACAGATACTCGGCACGCAGGCCGGAAAAAGAAAGTTTTGGCATACAGCTTGAATAAAAAGAAAATTAAAAAAGCAAAGATTGGCATACTGCCGTTGAGGGGTCAGTTCTGGCCTGCAGACGGAGCCTCCTGGTTCTCCCGCTTCTCCTCATCATCTGAGGGAATTTAATGCGCTTCACCAGGACAAGGAAGCTCAGGTGCGGCCGGCTCATTGGAGTTGATCCAGGCTTCAAAGGAGGCAGGATCTGGCTCGCCTTGCTCTCTCAAGTACACCACGTACTCGGCATAGCTGTGCGCCATTGCCCAGATGCTATAATCCGCATCTGGGTACAAGGCAGCCCAAGCAATCTTCATACGGGCGTCGTTGTCAGCATCACTTTCAGCAACAAGGCGGTTTTGCTTCACCTCCAGGGTTGCTGCAAAGTTTTTCTGAGCTTGAGCAGCATCCTTCTCTAACCTCTCAACCTTGGTCTTCAGTTTGCCAAGGTCCGCCTGGGCCTTCTTGAGCGCCTCATCAGCCTTTTTGGCGCTCTCGTCCGCCTTCTTCTGGGCCTCCTCCGCCCCCTTCTTGGCCGTCTCAGCATTCGTAGCCCGCTGGTCGGCCGCCTTCAGATCTAGCTCCAGCTGCTGGATTTTAAACGCCTGTGTCATAATTATTGCTTTAGTTTCAAGTTCATTTACGATAGTCGAGTGTAAAGCATTATTATCAGCGTCTATGGCGGTCTTCTTGGCCCTTTTTACCTCTTCCCGTTTGCGGGAATAAGGACGCTTGAGCCCGTCCACCCGCAGCATGGCCTGTAAAAAGTCAGGCGGCATAAGTATGGCAGGCGGGATAAGACACTTGGAAAAAATAAAATTGAATTGACAAGTTTCTTACCTCAGCCAGAAGGGATAGAACGCGTTCAAGATTGAACGTCTCTATCCTAGGGGTATTGTCCTTATCCCTCATCCGGACGGCTTCCAGCATGGCCTTGGCGTGCTTCTGGACGTCTGGCCAGCGGGGAGATTGATCTGCACCACAATCAATACGTGATGAGTGCGAAACTAAGGCAACACCTATTTGTTGCCGACCGTTTGAGGATGACGTCTGTTGTGAGTGGGATTTCACCCGTAAAGGCCACCCCAGATCAAGCGAAGATTCAAAAGGGTTCTTACCTTCAGAGCCGGCCAAGCGGGAACCGCTTGCAGGCGTGGTGAACCCCGCGGCTGCTGATAAAGGGTTGATAAGATCAAGGCACATGCTGCCGCCTACCTTCTCGAGTCGCCCTGATACCCGTATCGTCTTAGCCCCGGCTGATGCGCCAGGAGTTGACGCAGAGGCAAACTTTTTTATTTTGTTGAGAATGGCTGGGGCCTCCTCTCTAGCCCGTTTGAGATTCTTCTCAAACGATTTCCCAACTTCTCCCCCCTGCGAAATTAACCAAGTCAAAGTTAGTATCTGGGCAAGATAATTCTTAAAATAAACTTAAGAAAGGGTCAGGTGCTCAATTCCTTGGCCCTGAGCTCGGCGACAGCTTTCTCCGCAAGATCTTTGCGGATGGTCGCAGAAGACCGCTTGGGAGTTTTCTCCGACTGCAACATGTTTAGTGCTTCTTCTGCAAAAAGAGAGAAATTGGTCAATATCATAAATCAATTTCGATAGAAAAATACTACAGACGGTATAAACTCCGCATACGTTTGGTAAACATGTGCCCTAGCCCGCAGGCGGCCAGGAAACATTCATTCTTGAACCAAGCTCTCTTGGGAATCCAATTCTTAGGAACTTTTATTGTTTCCCCGGTTGATAGAGTTGCGTCTGTGAGGCCGAAAAAGTTTGCCTCAATTATTTTGACAAAGTCTTCCTCTGGGATCCGGGGAAGAGCGCACTTCCTGCCCAACAATTCATAGTTTTCCCGTCTGGTTGGGGCTAACATCAGGTAGAACCTGTGCTTCCAGCCATCAAAATTGGAGACCTTGTCCAAGGTCATCATATATTGCGGCTGCGTGGTTAGAGTGTACCACGCCCTCCAGCCGCCTGGGCTTCTGCTGAGGTAGTGCATGCTTGCAAAAGCCTCCCAGTCGGGGTTAAGCCCCTGGAACTCGCAGGCGGCAACATACCCCAGAATGTTGGTCTAGGAGTTGGGGGTAAGTTGCCAAACCCCAAGGCCGTAGCCTCTTAAAATTGCCTTCACCGCCCGGTGAAGGGGGAAGCGAAGGCCAGCTTTGAACGCCACCTCATAACAGCCAAAATAGCTGTTGGCGTTCTGTTCATCGTCCTCCCAGGCGATGGTGCCATTCTTAGGCGGCATCCGGATCCTGTACCCGCCTCCTAGCGGGTGCATTTTCGTTAAGTTCTTTAAGTTCTCTTCTGTTTGGATCCGGTCCTTGGAAGGGACGAAGATGTTGAAGGGATCGTCCTTCTCGCTCCTCTTTTTCCTTTCTTCCTCCTCGCTATCCGGAAGAGGGGGTAAGTCATCGCTGCTCTCAGAGGTAGAGGCGGAGCTGTCACTCTCCGTCCCCTCCTCACTTAGGTCCAGGGGGGCAAAGACGGCCTCGTCGCCACCTTGATCGCACTCTTCCAAGAAAGAGTCAGCAGGGTTGAAGGGGCGCGCGGAGGGGATCTCTCCAGAGCCGTCTGGTCTCCCTGACCGGACGTTTCTCCCTCAGGCGTTTGACCGCCTGAGCCTTCGCTCTTGTAATTTGGGTCCGTGGCCGTCTGCATTGTCCGAGCCATGGTGTCCTGCACAGACACATAACTGGTCGGAATCCATGGCAAAGGGTGGTCCCAACACCCCGAGCCGTCACTCCCAGTCCTAAACTTAGCCGTCCCTGGTGACTGGCTGGACTCTAACCTAGGATGTGCCGTGTGTGTTGGTAATGCATCCATTTATTGCAAGAAATATGTACAAGCGGTGAAAAAAGAAAAGAGATGAGAGAGACAGAGACGGTAGCTTTTGATCTGGTATGTAAAAGTAGGCGGGACCGGCTGGGTTGTTGAAGAACAAACTTTCTTGCTCGCGTCTGACTCAAACCGATGACATCTGCTCTCTCAAAGTTTTTCTCTCTAGGAAATTTTTGTAAATGTACAAAATTATGAGGGTAAAATGGCTATATATAGAGGGTAAATTTGGGGGCATTTCCGTAATTTACCAGGAAGGTGAACGGTTACTCTGTAACGGTAAAATTACCGCCAACCGGAGCGTGACATGTGTCACAGATGCCACGTGGCGTGCCACGTCACATCTGTGAGGGGCAAATGTTTAGGGTATTTTCACCCTGCCACGTGGCCCAATCAGAGGGTGACACGTGTCAGCCTCAGATTGGTCCAAAATGGACCAATCCCTGCTTGACACGTGTCATTCCAGAAATAAAGGGGAAAAGGCGGCCTTCAGGCCCAAATCCCGATAACGCCGGAAAATGGCGCAGCTCACTAATGATTAGGGTTCAGTGACCTAATCAGGGGCAATTCCCAAAGACCCTATAAATAGGGAGATGTCTCTCATTTTGAGGACACATTTGATCATTTATTACACATTTACTCTTTGATAGAGACATCCTGAGCTTGGAATCCGAGCAGATACCTACCTAAATTTCCGCACCTTTTTCTCCCTTTAAGTTTCTAACTTATGCGTCGGAGGCGGAGCACCACCCAACTGGTGTCTCCGTTTGTTTTGCAGGTACAACTCACCCTGGATCAGTCTTCGTATTGTAACTCTCCCGAGGGACAAAAACACCCAAAATAGGTCTAATAAATCTCTATTGTGACAACAATGGGGCTATTGTTCAGGCCAGAGAGCCACAAGAACATCAGAAGGTCAAACATGTCAAGCGGCAAGTTCACATGATTAGAGAATGGAAATCAGAAGGTGAAATCAGAATTTATGAGGTTGAAACGGATGATAATGTAGCCGATCCACTCACTAAACCATTGTCTCAAGTGAAGCACAACAAACATGTTGAGGCAATGGGAATCAAGCACATTGGAAACTGGCTTTGATTTCCTTATTTTAGTGTTTTAATTAAATTTTGGACAATGTTGATGTAAAACACTATGATGAACCATTCAGTTTTGGAGTAATTAAATTTACATACAATTTAAATCACTCTGTTTCTATTTAATTGTGGTTAAAATTAAATAATGAGTCCATTCGATTTAAAGAATGTTCAAAATAGGGTATCAAAACAATGGTCTTGGATAAAGAAATACCTATTAAGTGAACATTGAATATTTTAATCGGAAATTATCCCTAATTAAGGACATTTATATGGTGGACAATTAATGACCAATGGAGATTAGTGTGTAGTATGATTTATGGCACCTTTTCTTGTGCTATAAGGACATAAATCATTTGCACATGTATTGGTTTAGAACCATACTAGATCGACCTATGAGAATACTTTAAGAGATTCAAAATCGTTATAAGTATATTTCTCATTATTGCTATTGGAACTCTTTTCCTTGACCATGAGTATTGTGAGGTCTCTTGTCTGAGTACTAGTCTGTTTATTTATAATGGTCACACGTCTGCCGTAATTGGGGATTATAACGACGGCTATCAGGCGGCTAGGTCCTCTTAGTAAGAGAAGCTACATTACACGACTGGGAATGTCCCCCCTACTAATAATAGGGAACATGTCTTGTTGTTTACAAGGCCTCTCGAAGAGCGAGACTATGAAAATGCATGGCCGTGCTCAGATGGATTTTTTAAATCATTTGCTTATTGATAGTTAAACTCGGATTTTGAGAAACACTTTTGGACGTAACAGGGATGACGAATAATCTTTTACTGTAGTTCATGAAGAGACATGAAGAGACATAGAAAAGGGGTTGTACACTGAATGCTCACTTGTCCAGAAGGACAAGTGGGAGATTGAAAGGAATGGTGTCCTTCGAACAAGTGTATTATACTGATAGTGGGTTCAGAATTATTAGAAAGTTAATATATTAAGTAAGGTCAAGTGATCGGAATGCCTAGGTGGAGGCCGCTTCCGATCAGTAATAATAATGTATAATTGATATTACAGCTTAATCTTGACTGAACCCTTCGGGTCACACCCAAGCAATTAACAAACCGACTTGACGAATTAATTCGGATGAAAATAATGAGTCGCCCGAGTATTTAATATTTAGACGTCGAAAATTCGAATTTAGAGCACCGAAACCGAGCGTTGGAAGTCGAGTCAAAAATAGTAAATGACGAGACGCGCAAATAATAATGAATCGAAAATATTTCTAAAATACCCCTAGCATCGGAATTCCTCGAGCATCTGAGTGCTAGGAGCATAATGTGCTAGCATAGGTTGCTAGCATGCGCACCATGATGAGCCAAGGATGGTTGGCTGGTGCGTGCTAGCGCACTATGGCTAGCAGCAGCCGCAGCCGCAACACCCAAGGGGCAGCAGCTGCTAGCAGCCCGCACATGGTGTGCGGGGCTACTGCTGGGGCATGCTAGCAGCAGCCCGCACTTTTTTTTTTATGATATGGCAGCAAAATACACTTAATTAAAAGGTTTAAAGCTCAGATTTCATAAATCACGGGCATGACATTGCAAATCGACAATTTATCAACGAATTAAGGAGAAAAATCGTACCTTTACTGCACAATTAGGGTAGTCAATCTTCTCAAATTATGTTCTTCCATCCACTGTGGCTTCCTTCTGAAGATGATGGGGACGGCTAACAACCTTCAATTATGTACTCACTCTCTTCTTTAATGGTATAATGTCTTCTTTAATGGAGTACATAGAGGAGGGAAAGGAAAGATGAGACAGAGTGTGAGAGGGAAAGAAAGTAAAGAGGGAAAAGAGAGGTAGTTGGGGGTAATTAATGCCAAGATGGCATCCTTAGAGGGGGAATGGAAGTCAACCGTTGACTTTCACCTACAATCTGACTAATTAACAGGTTGCATGTAACTCGTTCCATTTGTACAAAAGTGGGGTGAAAGGTGGGGTTCTATTTTGAAATAAAATAAAGCTTGCTCCATTATTGTAATATGAGTGAGAGACGGTATTATTTTGGGCGAATTTTCCTTTATTTTTTTAAAAGATTTTTTTTTGTGCTTTTTACTCGTAGATTGAATTTTTGAATTTTTTTAATGTTTTGATTAAAAAAGTCCAGATGTTTATTCTCCATGTACTTAATGTTCTTTATTTAGGTTGAAATGTTCTTTTTTTACATATTATTATGTACATTACATTTATGTCTATATGTTCTTTATTTAGTTGGAAATATTCTTTTTGTACATATTATCTTGTACATTACATTTATGTCTATATGGTCATTGTTATAAAATTAAATGTTCTTTATTAGAGAATAAGATGTTCTTTGTTAGATGATACAATGTTCTTTGTTAGATGGTAGAAAGTTCTTTGTTAGATGATGTACTTAATGTTCTTTATTTAGTTGATGCAACGTTCTTTGTTAGTTTATGCAATGTTCACATGTAAATTATGATTAGTTCTTTGGAGAGTGCTTGGTTTTGCTTAGCATGTTATGGCAGCAAACAACACACATTTTTGCAGCCTAGTTATGGCAAAGTCTCGTGGGTATTTCCTTGTTTGTTTCTAAGTAGTACCATATTAACTAATATAAAAGAAGCATCATGAAAGGCCCTTGGATATTGCTAATATAGTACCATTATCTAGTTATCTTATTAGGTGGGGGGGACAGAGGGTATGTGCATTTTGTTCACTTACCATAAATTTTCTTCAATTATTGCTTTATAAGCACATCCAAGGAAGAGAAACAGATTCTGATAAGAGTTATATAGAGCGGGGCAGGGGTGGTAGAAAGGGGTCGAGGTTTTGGTGGTTTTTACTTGGTTAGACAGGTTTTTCATCTTTGTAGAGAGTTTCTGTAATACCCCGTATTTTAATAGGTATTTTATTTAAAATAAGTATTTTGAGAATTATTTAAATAAAATAAAATATTTTATTTAAAGTATTTTAATTATTCAGTTTAAGAAGTTTAGAAATATTTTATAAAAGGAAAGTTTATTTAATTAATTATTTTATTTAAGTTGGGGTTTAATTTAAGAAAGTTTATTTTAGTAAATTTTTATTAGGGAAGGGATTAGGAAAGATTGAAAAGGAAAAGTTTAGGGAGAAGGGTTTCTAAAGAAGGGGTATAAATATTCAACACTTGAAGCAAATCAAACTTTGCCCAGAGTGGAGAAAACCTAAGGTAAACTTCCCTTCCTTTCTCCTTATTTTTCTTTTTCTTTTTCTTTTCTTTCTTTTTTACCGTTCCCCTTCTCGGCCCTCACCATCACCACCGGCCACCAATAGCACTAGTCGTCGGCAGTAGGCATCCACCGACGTTGGCAACACCCAACATTGGTTGTCGGCTGCCCGGTTTCTTCGAAAAAATAAATTAAATCTTTTGTTTTAAAAAAAAAAACTATTTTAATCCTATATCTAATTATTAATTATGAGTTTTGTGATTAGATTATTATGTTTGATTATGAGTATCATGTAAATTAATTTTCACATTTTATTTTTAATTGAAAAGCACTAATTTTTTAAACCCTAGGTTCTTGAATTATTAATTATTTAAGGATTATGATATATAATGGTTTAAACCATTGATTTAATTAAGTGTTTTAAGGCCTAATTACAACAAGTTTTCATCAAAATATAATGCTGGAATTTTTTGTAGTGCATTAAAAATCAAGTTTCTTTAAGAAAAATTTCAATTACCCATAAATTCGAATTAAAGTATGATGTTTTAAATATAATTTCAGCTTATTTTAATTAAATTATAAGTGGTTTAATAATAGTATATGTTGCAGGAAATTTGTGTAGAGAGGATTTTAATATTATTCTATGATTTTAAATTGTAGGAAACTTCGAAGTGAGTGATTTCTATTAGTCATGGAGATTTTAAGATCATATACAAGGTACGTTCAACTTTTTAGCATAATGTTCTTGATTTAGTAGCATGCTAAATGTGTTTAATTGACTACAAGTAGTATCATGCTTGATTTGGAATGGAAATTATGATTTGGTTGTTATTGGTGATTGAATTATGAAGCATGATTTATTTGTGATAGATTAATGGATGGAAAATTATAGTTTGGAATATTGTTTATGAACCACACTTTAATTTATGGCATGTTAAGAAGCATGTTTAATTAAACTAAATGTTTAATTTGACTTGTAATATTAAAAGAAAATTTTATTATGGTTCATTTAATTTTTATTGATGCTTTAAGCAAGGGAAATGAACTATTTAAGTGTCTTTGATGAGGGTTTATATTTTTGGTGCCTTAGTGCACTTAAGGTGTTTTTAACACCGAGGCATAGGATTTGTGACACTTTATGCGTTTAAGGTGTTATTGACACCGAGATAGACTTTAAAAGGGTTCAATATTAAGTTTTATGTGGTCACTAATAATTCAAGAATTAAATTGGTATATTTGATTGTTTGAATAATTATTGTTGATTGAATGATTTTGTTTTGAGAGTCATCACCAAGTTTAATCATATGTAAATAACGTAAAGTGAAAGAGATTACGCACCAAAACTCTTGGAACGTGCATACCTTGAGTATAAATGATATGTCCATTTCATATAGTAATTTACCCCCGTCCCTTGGTTATAATTAGTGGTGTTTTTGGCTCTTTCGAGACACTTTTATTACTAATTTGTGTTTTCTAGTGTTTTCGTAGTTTTAGTTGTATTTTACAGGAAATTGCACTTTTGGAGCATTTTCCCGGGTTTTATGGATTGACTACGGAAGCTATAAGGACACGACCACTTTTGAAGCCCAAGACCGGTGAGAGCCGATGATTAAGGGCTCGGTATGAGATACCGAGGCTACTGGATCGTTTAATCAAGACTCGATGAGGAAACTTAGATTGGGCCGAGGAATTGAGCCCAATCGAAATCCGAGCCTCGAAGAAGAAGACCGGGCCCGATCGGGCAAGCATACGCCCGATCGGGCGGCTGCGCGCATAAGGATCCTCAAGGGAGAAGCGCGCCCGATCGGGTGAGCATAAGCTCGATCGGGCGCAGCACACAAGCAGCGGGCAAAGCAAAAAAAGGCGGGCCCGATCGGGTGACCCTTCGCCTGATCGGGCGCGTGTTTTTCTCATACCTAATTATTTTAGTTTTAATTTTTATTTTGGGGAATGTTTAAGTACGAATTATGTACGTAATTTTGTTTTACCTTCTTTTTTAGACTTTCTCTCTCTACTTAGGATATTTCTCTCTTTTAAATTCTCTCTCTCAACTTTTGTTCTTAATTACTTCCATTAATCTAGATTTCTTTTGGTAACAATTTATTCTCTTTTAATTTCAGCTATTTTACTTACTTCTTTGATTATGCTTTGCTTTATTTATTTGATTAGTTTAGTTATGATTATGCTTGAGTAGTTTTATTTCTAGGGTTAAGTCGAGATTCGACAGATGAGATTTAATACCGGTAAATTAACTCTGTGATTATAATACTTAGTGAAAGCCCTTTATAATCTGATTAACCAATGCTTGATGATTGCTTATTATGATTTGCCCTGGAATATTGTTTATTAGTGAACCTATGCCCTAGGTCTTTTAATATTTGATTTCCCCCTATTTTATTTCTTTCGACATTATTCTCCGTAGTATAGAATTTATTCACAATAATATTGGTTACTTAGATTATTTAGATTATAATAATTAGTTAGGAATAGAAAGACTTGTTTCCCTGTGGAGTTCGACCCTACTTCCCTATCTACTTTAGTTAGAGGACCTAGGTAATTAATTTTTTATTAGGGGATACGAATTTACCCTGTCAAAATTTGGCGTCGTTGCCGGGGAGACGGTTTTATTTTTGTTTTCTGATTATTTTTTGTAGTCTAGATTATCCCCTTTTGTCTCAGAGAACGTTAGTTCTTTGAGGCAATTCTCATATTTGTCTTTTAGTTCTTTGTTTATGCCCAGGTGTTCCAGATCAGGTTACATTCCATTCGATCCTGAGATCGAGCTCTCTTTTCATAGGCAAAGGAAAATCTATAGACCAATTCTGGCGGGTTCTGAGGAGGACAACAGTCGAAGAGATCCTCCCTCTGATTCTAGTGATACATATATTCCCTCAGATCCAAAATCAGAGATGACGGCCCAGAAGAAACTCAGTGACTACTCGCAGCCGAACCTCACAGATTTCCCGTACCTTACTCCCACTCCGGCACTAGATGGAGTTCAATTCGAAATCAAGCCTCAATTTATCACTATGATAGAGAAGAAGCAATTCAGTGGAGCTAAGGGTGAAGATCCTAATCTTCACATCGCAGATTTCTGCCAATATTGTAACACTATTAGACAAGGCGAGGTCACGCAAGACCAAATCAGGGAGATTCTTTTTCCTTTTTCATTATGTGGCAAAGCTAAATTATGGTTTAATGGTTTGAATAGAACTTCACTTGGTATTACTGACTGGGAAACTCTTGCTTTGAATTTCTATAATAAATACTATCCTGCAGAGAGAACAACGGTGCTATGGAGTGCTATTCAGAACTTCGCTCAAGAGGCCGACGAAACGCTATATGAGGCTTGGGAGAGGTTCAAGGATATATACAGAGAGAGTGCCCCCACCACAATCTAGCACAATGGCAATTGATCCAAGCATTCTATAATGGACTTGGAAATTCTTCTAGATCAGTGCTAGATTCTGCAGCTAGTGGGAAGTTCATGAATTTAAATGTGGACGATGCAGGACAGGTTATCGAAGACATGGCAATACACAATTCCCAATATGGGAATCCGAGAGGGTTTGCGAAAAAAGGAAAACATAATGTCGATTCCGTATCCTTTTTGCAAGCTCAATTAACGTCTATTTGTCAAAAATTGGATAATCTTACTATTGCTCCTAACTCTATAGCTAATGTTTCTATTGTTGCTAATAATGAAGATTTTTGTGAAAATTGTTGAATTGTAGGTCATTGGGAGCAAGATTGTAGCAGCTCTATGGAACAAGTTAATGCCTTTCAAACCTATAGGCAGAATAACCCATATTCCAATTCCTACAATGTCGGTTATACGAACCATCCATATTTTTCGTACCGGAGCACCAATGTACAAAACCCTCCACCTCCACAACAACCACAACAACAACCCCCACCACAGCAAAAATATTATCATCCTAATTCCGACCAGAAAAGCCAAGCATCACCCTTATCATCTTCCGACCCTGCCATGACAGAAATTAGAGCAATACTTGCCAATATGCAAAAGCATATGGAGAGTAGGGATGCGCAAATTGATACTATCCTACCCCATAATAAAATCATGGACAATCAATTGCACAACTTTCATCTACCCTACAATCCCGTCAGTAGGGAGCTCTACCATCACAACCTATCCATCCTACAGATCATTCCAATGCAATCACTCTAAGGAGTGGTTCACAATATGATGGTCCTCCTATGCTAAAGGAAGATAGACCAGT